AAAAACTGGACATTAACATGAATGGTCAATATTGTTAGATGAAATTTCACCCAATTGTTCATGGTAAGAAAAGGTAGAAATTTTTTTTACCTTTTATTATTAATATTATTCATTGGATTGGATAAAGAGAAACAAAAAGTTCTGATTCATTTTGATTGAAATCAATTTACTTTTAATACTAATGAGTTACAAGAAAACCAGAACCAGGGGAAAATTTCACAGATTTATTGAATTAACAATTGAAACTAAAAATAGTTGATTCCAATTCATTGATAACTTTTTCATGGTAAAGAAAAACAATATTATTCACATAACCGGAAAAAAAGAGTAAAGTTCAGAGTGAAAGTAATAACAATCTGATAACTGTTGGAGTGGGAAAAGCTAATTGGTAGTAATAGTTTTTTTCTGCCTGTTGAATATAAGATATACTCATGAATTCCTTGAATACCCTGAACAAATTGAGTTCACAATCAATTTAATCATCAACCTTATTGTTAGATATTTATGAAGTGTAATTCTAATTGAATAAAAAGCATTGCTCTCACGTATATGAATTGATTCATATTGACTGATATTCGTGATCATATTTGGTTCCCAAGAAGATTTTAAATTCAAGAATTAGCTACTATTTGTCTTTCATGGGAGGAGAAGACTAAACTTTTGTAATATTGAGTAAATACTAATGAATTTCATATGCATTTTGAATTTATTAGTAGTTCAATATTAAAGAGAATTCTCTTTTTTTTCTCTCTCTCTTTTTCTATCGTGTAAACATTCAGACTGAGAATTCACAATTCATCTGAGAATAAGATCTAAGTTCAAGTAGGTAAAAGGCTAGAAAAATGATTTTTTATATGCTTCGATTTGCTATAAATAATTTTCGAAATTCTGATTTACGAATTGAGTTGATTGTTGAACTTTTCTTTTTGATTGATTATCTTTTGCTTAGAACTTTTTTTCTTTGGCTTCAAGTTTTGATATAATTCTGGTTTCCAAGGTTTCGAATTCAAGTTCTAAAAGTAATTTCATCAAACTATCGGCCAAATGGAAAGTAGAAAATTACTTCACTTTTTATTCTCTCTCTCTCCCTCTCTGAATTATTAATATTTTTCATTTGGAACTTTCTCTCTAATCTCACCCTTATTCTGAATTCGAGTTTCCAAATTTATTTGGAGTTTATAATATTCAGTGTATTGGATTAATTATTTCTCTAAATCGACGTGAATTCTCATGATGGAAACTTTTTCGTGAAAATGTCATAAAACTACAGTGTATTAGGGAAAAAAGCATAAAAATATCGTTATTCTTTACAAGAATCTAAGTAATACCTTATAATCATCAGCTAATGTCCAGTTATCATCATCGATTATAATGACTGGACATCACGAAAACTTATGAATCAAATCAATCGGAAAGTTTCATTGAGAGTTGACTTATAATAATAATAATGGAAGTGAAAGAAAAATCATCATCAAGAGAAAAAGAAAAAACTAATTCTCCTATTGGCAACTTGACCATACTGACCACAAGTTGATTCAATATCATTATCGTTGATGCTTCAAATGCAACTTAAAATCAGAATTGAACACAGAGAATTGTTTTTGATAATATCACATGAAGAATGATAATTATTAGTAAATTGTAGTTCGAGAAAAACAAATTAGTTCCGAACTATTAATCAAATTGAGGTTTCGAAATTGAAATGAAAAAGTTTCCATTCAGAGTATTGAAAGTTCTGGAAGAAAATTAAAACCGTTCATTTATGAAAGTGATTAACATAATCAAGAATTAATAAAGTAAACTTTTCATGAAATTCACTCAAACAGAATTGTAATCTTATGTAATTACGGTTATAACGATTAAGCAAATGGAGGAAACTGATTAGTTTGATTGGATAATTAGGCGAAAACAGCAAATTGTTGACTATTATTATTGTTACGAATCGAGTTTCAATTAACTGAACTTTTGTTATGAGGATGATAATGACCATGAATATGAAGAATAGAGAGAAAATATTGAAAGAAATTTGTTCATGGAGAAAATGAAATAATATCTTTGGATTGAATTAATGTTATATGAGGCGAGAGAATGAAAATTTCGTAGAGAAACTTGATCATCTTTCATAACCATCACAATGGTCAATTGTTCATATTCTTAATCTAGTTTTAACACTCGACAATTATCATGGTCCACTAGGTGATCATAATAAAATCAGCTTATGGGTCCATCTTCGTGTAGGTGGGAATCAGGTTGGTCAATTGTTCTGTTGTCCATGTTTTCGTAATGAGATGACCATGTGAAGAAAGAAAAATATTCTGAATTCTCATATTAAAGAAAAAAGTTTAATTCCAAATAACATGTGAAATTAAGGTGATGGTGCTCAAAGAAATGATCATAGGTTCTAATGGGAACATACTCTTCATGTAACATTGTCTAATCATGGAAAGATAATATTAATAACTATTAATAGAGGGGAGAAGGATTTGTAATGAGAAAGATGAAAATTCCAATTGAAAAAAGTTCCATTAGCCTGATGAGCCTTTTGTTTACCTCAAGCTACATTATTTTCATGAGTATCTATTAATACAAGAATCTGAATCAATATTGAAATTGAAACTCGATGAGGCTGATAAAGGTTGGGAAAAAAACCTCTGGCCTACTATTCAGATTTTACTCAGATTCTTTACTTTTTATCTATAACAGAAATTATCATAAACATGATACCAGGTAGAATATAAAAATCTATGGTTTCTGAATGAAATGATCATGTTCATGATATAATAATAAATAGAGATGCTTTTGATTGATCAATAGAAGTTGAAATTTTCTCAACATTTTCTAACTAACAATAAGTTTTGATTCATTTTCATGTGTATCTGATTCAGGGAATTCAATTACTATTATTCAAATCGATTCAATAATAATCACTAGAAGGTCAGAATCTTTTTCCCACCTCGTTAGAATGAAAAATGGTACATTATTAATATTTACTCATGGCGATAATAATAATATGATATTCAAATTTAAGATTCACCATGTATCTTTCAGGGTGATAATAAAGATAACTTTTCTATCATCATATTTATTGTTATTGAAATGAATTTTATTGAGTTATCTTCATGTGAGGTTTAAGGATAGACAAGGTAACTTTTTCTGTTGGAATAATTTTTTTTTCTCTCTCAATTCAGTCTCTCAGGGATTGAATTTCATGGGAACAGATATTAGATATTGATTGAATTAGTAAAAAATATCATGAATATGTTAATACATTCCGTCATGTATGTATCAGTAACTCAAATGGTAATATAATTTCATGGCTCATTGAATCATGGCGATGAACTTTTTTTTTCCTAAAAAATGAAAAAACTTTTTCAACCTGAGGTTAAAATTTCAATCTCATCATCAATACTAATCGTGGTTATCATGGTGCTCACCCTTTTAGACAAAGTCACTCGATACCTGGTTACAATCACCATGAACATGTGTATGAAATTCATGGTAACATAATTGAATCAGAACTTTTTTTCTCTATCTTTTAATCAACGTGATTTTATCAATATCAATATGACTGAATTATTATCTCGCCCTCATGATCAGAGATTGATTTTCAATGTGATTGAAAATTATTAATCATCTTTTTGCTTTCGATTCCATCATGAAATCAACTTGGAATATCAATTGGTTGAATAGTGATAGATAGAAGGGTGAAGTCAATTTCGGAAAGAAATGAAAAAAAAATGAGACATGATAAAATATCAAATTCCAAACAAAATGTAATAGATATTGAACATTTCTCATCATCTGAATTTCAGGGGAATCGAATCAATAATTATTGTTAATTATTATTACCAAATAACAATTTGGAGCAATCAATTATTATTAGATAATCATGTTACATATAATTCATTTTCTATCATGTGAAATGTTACGAAACATTAACCAGAACTTTTTCAGTGAATGAAACTGAAATTAATTCGGTTTGGTTCAAGTTCCATTTCCGAATAAAAAGTATGAAAAAATATTCGAAAACTTTTTCTTTCTTCCTGATCCTTTAACACTGAATCTTATGGAAACTTTAAGTTTATATCAACTTTTCCCTCCGGTGATTAGCATGATGAATACATGAAAATGAATCAAAGGTTAATATGAATTATCATGAGCATCCATTGAGACTGATGGAAATAGTTTCTGAAAAGTGAACATGATGAGCAAAAAAAAGATACTCAACTTAAATAGAAGGTGAAAATTAACATGATCTTTTCATGATGTTCAATTTTTAAGATTTTCTGAAAACTGAAAGAAAAAGTTTTTCCTTTTTGTTGCGAATTTCAAATTCAATGTTTTTCATATTTTATGAACATTCACATGAAATTATTGTATTACTTTTCATCAAGGAGATGATAATTTACTTGAGAAAACATGATAAGTGCTGAAATATTTATCCAACTCATTTAAGAGCTTTTTAACATTGAATTTCAGAATTTTCAATTGGATTCATGATGCAAATTCACATTCATGATTGTATATATTAATATATTCAAACTTTTATCTCTTGATTTATTTACATGTGAAAATTTCATTCCAAGTTCAGTTTAATTATTAGCATCACCATTATGACATCATTTTCAAGTTTCAACCTTAAGGTAATTTGTTTTCAATATTATCTCACTTTTCAAGGTGACCAGTGAGTATTTATCTTGACCAACCGGAAGTGTTTACAGGTAAACGGAAATTGATTTCATGATCAATTGATGATGATGGTTAATGTGAATTTGGATAAACACAGAGGAAGGAAATTGATTGTTGAGTGAAAAATGATTAACAATTAAACGAGCACATTAATTGTTTAAAGAGAAAGAGAGAGAGAATCAATTATTAACGGAGCAAAGAAACGGATTTGTTTGCCATCGGAAGTGATGAGATTATCTTGATATTAATGAGAAAATGTTTGATTCAGCTGACCATTGGGTGGATAATATTGGAATTGGTCAATAACTCACCTTGTAAATAATGAACTACTGTACATGCTGTCTCACCGAATCTCCAGATTGAAGTGTTCTTAACGTAGGCCACAAAGGGACAGCAAAAAAGGATGACCAATAAATCAGAGATACAAAGATTGATGACCAATAGATTTGAAGTTGTCCTTTGATAATATGTTGACCTGGTGTCCACATGCCAATAGATTATACAAGCATTGCCCAGTCCACCGATGAGGAAAAGGATAAGGTACAGGGTGGAGATAACGATAACACTGGTTTCACGATAATTGGTCTGAGATTCAATGAATTCAAGTATATGAACCTCTTTATCTGTTGATGATATTTCCGTGTCCGATATACTGGTCACTACATTGTTACCACTTTCATAACCATAAAGTGAACTTAAATTATTATTATTATTATTACTATTCATGGACAGTTCGAGACTCCCGATTCGTGAGGCTGCTGAAGATGCGTCAAGTCCACTTGATGACATTGGTACTAGAATTGAAGATGATGGAAAAATTGATGATCGATTCCATGAGGTGTGAAAAATGGGTGAGGATGATAATCCGTCTAGATGAATTTCCATACAAAAAGATTGAATCGAGGATTATGAATGTAGAAATCAATTAGTTCAGTTAATCTTTTGATTCCATTGAAGAAAAGTGAAATCAATGAGAATAAAATTGAGACATTTTGTCAAATTCAAGATTCTAAGGTGTGAAAATAAGATTAACGTTAAATCTGATTAACTTGAATGGTCAAGGAAATTGAAATTAAATAAGGTGAGAATGAGAGTCAATTTGAAATCAGATTAAATCAACTTGTTGATACTTAATCCAGACAATTTTGATCCATCTCCATTTGATCCGAGATTGAGTTGAATGTGATAAGTTCAATTTACTTCAGACAACATGAAACTTTTAGAAGAACTTTTTTTTTTTTATTGTCCACAATCAATCCTGATGAATTTGATGAACTGTTTATCAAAGTTTGTAGAAAGAAACAAATAAGATAAATTTTCTTGGTGTATACTCAGAGATTCACCATGAAAAGAGGTAAAAAGTTGAAAGTTATTAGTGAACGAAATTCTGGTTCAACTGTATTGTAAATGGAAACTGAGTGAGTATAAATAACTGAATGGATTCTGTTCACTTGTGAACATGTTCATGGAGGAGAAAAAGTGATGATAATGATGATGGAGTGAGTGAGAGAGAGAGAGAGAGGAGGTAATAGACATGAACAAAGGAAAATAATAGTAATAGACTAGAGAAAGATTGAAAGTGATTCTCAAGAAAATTCAGTATGATTCTGAAAAGAAGATGACAGGGAGTGAGAGAGAGAGAGATACGGAGGATATTAGAAAACATCTTCATCTTTTTATCTTCCAAAGAGAATTCATTGTTTTCTTCTCACTCTTCTTATCATCTCTCTTTTCTTACGAGTGAATCTGTTTATTTCATGTTATTATTATTTCCTTTCCGTTTTTGACTCAATTTTCATGATATTCAGTGGGCGATGATAAAGTGACAAGAAATCAAGTGAGAAAAAGGAAAAAAAAAATAATTGTCACTTAATAGCAAACACATTATGAATTCAACATGGATTCCAGAATTGAGATAACGGTATTATCATCATCATGTATTTATTTATCGGGCTGGTTAACAGAAACAGTTACCAATTTGTAGCAATTTAAAAGGTGGAAAAACAAAATGTATTTCACAATTTCATTGACAATTTCTGATAAATCACCAAGACCATCATCATCTAAATATCATCCATGACAATCATCATGATAAAGGTAACATACAAAAGTGAAATCTCAATAAATTGTCAGGGTAAAGAGGAAACAAAAAAATAGGTCGAGTGGGAGTTTAGTATTGTTATTGGCACTTTCAAGAAATCTGAATTACCTTTATTTTTTGTATATTGCAATAAAAGATTATTGGATTGTCATCATTATCATCATGATGCTTCAAGACTCGGAGAATGATGAATAATGATCAGAATTTTGTGAGAAGGTCAGAAAAAAATATCAGAAATCAATCAATATTTCTAATGATGGTCAAATATTATTACCTTAGAGTCTCAGGATGTGGGTCGAAGGTGAAACTTTCCTATTTCCGTACTTACCATCAACTTATCTTTTCCATGGAATCGCAAGTATTTTGATTATCTTATAACAGGAAACTCATCAAAAAAGAATCAGGTAAATAATTCAGATTAGTATTCGAATCTCTTATTCAGGAAAAATCGAGAGAGATTATTTATCTTCTACCTTCATGTTTTCCAAATCTCAGAATTCAATTGATTTTTTAAAGACTTTTCTTCATGACTAGTTCATAATATCTAATACAATAATAATCATCTGGTGTAGGTGGTTAAGATTACATGTTAAATGATGTAACATTTGATTGATTTGCATTTTTAATGGTGAATAACAATTGACATTTATGATTAGATTCCGGTTAAAGATGACATTCAGCTCATTTGTATTATTATAATTTGTTGACATAAAATGAATGAAAATCACTTTCGTTGTTAACCATAATTGTCAATTAAAATTGATAATTAAAAGTCTTTCAGTTTGTAAACAATCAGATTAAACTTTAAGGATTGGGTTTAAAATGAATTTGGATGATCGTTAATCATAAATGTAATAGATCAATACTTAATCAACTCAATTTATCTTAATAAAGACAATGAATATTAATCTACAATCAATTAATCATCAATTGATGAATTATGTATTAAGGAAATAGTTTTCTTATCATGGTGAACTTAAGTTTTGCTGGTTAAATAATTAATTCTTACAATTCGTAAGGATAAAGATTCCAGGTCGAAATAAGATTCCAAATTGTATCGATAGATGGTGACGGTGAACAGAAAAGTTCCCAGAACTTTGTGTAACTCAGTGTGACTGGAGCCATCTATTGAATTGTGGTGAGTATATTGAGCATCCGATTGATATTATTACGTCAAAAGTATTATTGGTAAGTGTATTTGTGAATAAATTAGGTGGGGTGAATCTTTGAAAATCTACATGAGTCCCTCGAGGTTTCCAACGAGGAGAATTAGAAAGGTGAGAAAAAAAAGTTCAACAGAATGGAAATTGTTCAGCAGTTTTTATATACTGAATTCCACGACCTGGTCGTTCGCGACTGTAGTAGCCCATTATTGAGGAAGCCTTTGGTGAGGTGTCAATTGTTTTACAGGGATTTTTGGTCTCCCAAATGTTGAACGATTTACAGTGAACCGTATTGAAGTTACACTCGACCAGAGAAGCGATGAAAAATTGTCGGGCCGCGATGTGATCACAGAGGAAATTGGTTGCCTTGGTGCACCAGGGTTGTTTGTACCCACCGTTCGGATAAAAGTCAACATGTCCCATTGGATTGGGAATACCAAAGCGACCGGCACGGAGACTTGAGATTGGGGATTGCTCATCGAACCCGGAAGAGTGAATAACGTCCACAAAATCAGCATCGTTTTCATTCAATGTCGTCTCCTTATTGGTATCGGCTAAATGGTCGCCAGGGTCCAATCCTAAATCAGATGAATCAAAGATAATCAGCAAATTGAGGACAAAAAATTTAGTTAGTTAAATTGCAAAATTAATTCTCTAGATATTGGATTGGAGTAAAAAGATTAATTAATAATAATTGATTGGTAATCATGTTCAATATCAAATATCTCATTTCCTAATTATCAGTTTTACTCCTCGTTAACAAAACTAATCGTTTCAACTTGAAGCAAAAATAGAAACTGATTATCAACCAATGGACTGAGTTGAACTCTCAATGTTAGTTTTTTTTACAGAAAACAAATTAGTTAATTAACAATTAACGATAATCTTAGATAAACATATATGAATTTTCTTAGTGGAGGAAAACTGATTGATGATTGTGAACAATCAATTGATTATTCCAATGTTAATAACATGAATTAATGACTATAAAGTTGAACAATAATCAATTAAGTGTCACTTCAAATTAAATTAAACAATTAAGCTTCCAAATGATATTAAACACCAGCAATAAAAAAATTTGCAATTCATATCAATCGTAATTGTTTTCACAATTATAATCAATGGTAAATTTTCAGTTGCAGTTAAACATAATGATAAACGAAAGGCAAAATTTGACATGATAGATTAATTAAATCAATTGTTGATTGAGTTTTTGAAAATTGGAGCAATCAAATTGATAAATTGTTAAAACATAATCAAATGCAGTATTGGGCAAACTGTCAAGTGAATAAACAATTAGCTCTTAATTACAACAACAATTCAATCCTAATGATTCAAGTGATCTCAAATGATTAACCTTTGTTGATTAACTTTTTACAGTTAATTTGCTTTCCACTAATTAATGATTATTAGGGAAAAGGTTTAATCATATCCTAATTGTTACCTTGAAACAAACACACAATTGAAACTAATGATGTTAATCTAAATTGATCAGGGTTAATGATGTGAGTTAATTTCTCAATCAATATCGTAACAAATGATGTTAAATCATCGACTAATTTGGTTGATTGTTTTCACACCAAAATTACAATTGGCAAACTTTTCAAGCATAATCAAATTTAATTTCTTAACTGTTCAGTCAATTAAATCAATGTTTCAGATAGATTGTTGATAATTGTTGTCTGTAAAGCTATCGACCTTTGAGTGAGTAAGAATAAGATGTTATTGATTTTAATTCAATGATTAGGAAGATAATCAAAGAAGAAGATGAATAAGAATCAGGAAGAGAAACTTAGTAAAAGGAGGAAAAAGATTCAACTGATTAATGTGTGTATTTTAAAAGCTAATACATATTCAGTGTTTGTAATTGTTGGTTGATTGTTATGATAGAAAATTCATCTCATGGATCATGAGCTTTAATTATCTTACCGGTAACTCTGCCAATCTTGGTACCGAATAGTTTGTTACCCCAAGAACAAGCAAAATGTGAAACTTTGGCACCTAACGAATAACCAATAAGATGAATATTTTTTGGATTAATAGACCGGTGAATCTTTAGTTTCTCAATCAATAAGGCCACTTGTCGGCCAACCAATTCGGTGTTTGCAATGGCTCGAAGAAAGTTACCAATTCGAACGGCTATTCGATAGTCAACAACAATGACCGCATCAGTATCGGTAAAACGTAGGAGACGTTTCATCATTTCAATATAATCCGATTCACTGCCACTCTCAGTGTAACCATGAATGATAAAGGCAACATTACTTGAGGCGGGAATAGCTGAGAGACTTTCATCATCTTCGTAGCTAATTGGAACTGGAGCATCTTCTGGTGATTTGTAGACGAGAAATTTGGTCCTCACGAACGAAGGTAATTCTGGAAGGAAACAAGTTCTTTTCGAGGCCGATTCACCGGTATTGAAACAACCTAAACTTTTGTAACAAATTTCACCTCGATAGAAACAACCATTGGCCGAAACTTTTTCCATACCTGATAACATTGATGATACAACGGGATCTAAAGCAGAAAGTAGGAAAGGTGAAGACGATGATGAAGATGATGATGATGATGACAATGGATCAGTTGAAGGAGATGATGGTGATGATGATTTAGATGAAACTGATGATAATACTGATAAAGGTGCACTTAAGCCAATTCTATTTAAAGTAGGATGATTAGCAACGGAACCAACTGATCGGCTAATTGTATCTATTCCCGAATTGAAAAGAGCACTGAATCCCGATAAAATTGATCCAAGACTCGTTTCCATGGACATATTCCAGTTCTTTGTTTTTAATTTAATATTTGTACCTAAAGAAAATGAAACAATTAAAAACAGCGATTAGTGACAATCAATAATTTATTCATCTTATTTTTCCTGGTTATTATATTTATAACAACCAGGTAGCCTTGTTGTTGTATTAAAATCATTTCTGATCATGGATGAAATTTCACTGATAGTAATCAAGATTCTTGATTAGTATGATAATCAAAGTTGACCTTGATGCTCTGATTGTTGTTAACTATTGAAATCAAAGGGGCTGAGAAATAATATTTTTAACAATTAAAAGTAACAAACAAGTTTATCCCTTTTAATTAAATTATATAAAACAATCTTAATTAATCAATAACAAAATTAGTTGTCTTCGTGAACTGGCAACAATCCCAATCATTGAATTGATTAAACAACAAATTGTGAATAAACAAAAATCCTGATTGTGACCTGATTAGTTACCATAACAACGATCAATAATATTAGGATGATCAGAAAGTTTTGCACGAAAATTAAGGCTAACAATCAACACGTAATTAAACCTAAGCCTAAAATCTTAGAGAAGTAATTTTTTTAACAATAAAAATTAAGAGTTTACTAATTGAAAACTATTAGAAAAATTGAATTTTGGAAATTTTCTTCCAGGTCAAAAATAGCGATGAAAATGGCCTCAAATTATTTTTTTATCGTCGATGCTTTCGACGAAGTAAAAAATGACCTTAGAATAATGATTTCAATATTTTAAAATTATTGAAATAAAATTCGATATTTTTACTTTGATAAGTGAAATTTTCAACAATTAACTAATCACAATTAAGGAGAAAATTAAATTCAAAATTTGGTCTTTTTTTTCTAGCAAAATTGAGAATTTATGAAAATGAAATTTTTTACCATTGAGTAGATGGAAAATTTCATGATCTCGTGATGAATTTTCAATTTTGCTAGAAAAAAAAGACCAAATTTTGAATTTAATTTTCTCCTTAATTGTGATTAGTTAATTGTTGAAAATTTCACTTATCAAAGTAAAAATATCGAATTTTATTTCAATAATTTTAAAATATTGAAATCATTATTCTAAGGTCATTTTTTACTTCGTCGAAAGCATCGACGATAAAAAAATAATTTGAGGCCATTTTCATCGCTATTTTTGACCTGGAAGAAAATTTCCAAAATTTAATTTTTCTAATAGTTTTCAATTAGTAAACTCTTAATTTTTATTGTTAAAAAAATTACTTCTCTAAGATTTTAGGCTTAGGTTTAATTACGTGTTGATTGTTAGCCTTAATTTTCGTGCAAAACTTTCTGATCATCCTAATAATATAAAGATAAACTAATAGATGGATAATTAGTTTATCGTTAATCAACAAAATTATTTAATTTCATTCAAAAGTCTTGGTAATTACAATTGTGTAATTTGCTCGGGAAATAAATAGTATAAGTTTTCATCTCTCTCTCTCTCTCTCTCTCTCTTTCTTTCATTCCTGAGACATGATGAAACTTTCTGTTTATAATGTTCAACATGATGATTTACTGATTGAAATTGAAACTTTCCATCAATCTAATCAATGATTTTGAAATAATCAAAGCTATCAATCAATCATAGAGTAAAAGTTTATGGACAAGACACATTCCAATGGTCCCTGAGGGTCAAGAAGTCTTATCAATATTATAAGTGGTACAAATAATATCTATCATCAACATGATATCTAATAAGATAGAATAGATTAATTCGAGTAGAAAAGATTGACAAATGTCGTAAATAATATCGAAAAAAAAAAAAACTTCTCCAATTGTTACATTGGTATTTTTTTTCTCGTTTCCTTGTGTATCTTTCGTCAGACTTTAAATGGTAAATCTTTAGAATTATTTTTCTTCTTCGAATGTCAATTTTTTGGCCTCATCATTTTGGGTGATTAATATAAATGGAATTGGAATTAAATAGAGCAACTGGTTATTTGGTTGAGAGATGTAGAGAATTTGTTGTTCACAATATCTCATCGGTCAAGGAAGAAAAGAAGATAATATCAAGATGAAAAGGTATAAAAACACATAAGAGAAAAGATGAGAGAGAGAGAGAGAGAAAAAAAAATCATGTAACCATGAAAATGATCGTTTGCATTTTCTTCACCATTGTAATCATCTGATTGATCGATTTCTCTCTTTGTTATTTCATCTACTATTCGGGTATACGGATCATCTTTCAGTGAGAGAAAGAGAGATGAATAACATATTATGATTGAAGGAAATAAGTGATGAAGAAGTAAATTTGACTTGAGTAAAGAACTAACGAAATCTCAGTAGACATGGAGAGAAGGAAGGAGAGAGATAGAGGGAGAGAAAGGAAAAAAATAATAACCAAGAACATGATGAAAAAGAATAGAGAAAAAAAATTAGCTCTCAACCGATCATTAACTATGGTTGACCATTAAGAATGGTGGTGACATATTGCATGACAATTAATCTGTGATCAGAGGGAGAAAGGATCAAATCAAGGTTGATATTATCATAATGAACTGACCATTTCAAACACCTCGTTATGTTAATGAGAAGTTGATAGAAAAATATAATAATTAACTTAGATAAATGTCTCTAGAACAATAGTTTCTATAGGAAATGAAGAGTTTGAACAATTAAGACAATCACTGGTGAGATGAAGATGAATCAAAGAAGACAAGGTCAAAAGAAGATAAATAGGAAGAGAGAGAGAGAGAGAAACATTTCCAGGCAATCAGATTAATCGCTTAATCAACATAACTCACCAGAACATGGTTGAAATAGAATCACTATGGTAAATAATAGACTTGTTGACACTACTAGTCCAAAGGTTTTAACTGGAATCACCATGATAATCAAATCGTAATCAATTTGGGTGGAAGATTATATTTGATACAAAAAAGAAATATAAACTTTGTTGATTGATGAAATTTCCACTGAGTTGATTCCGTAGTCATACAAATAATGAAGAGATGATAGATTGTCCAAATTGTAATTCAGTTAAATCACTAAGAGAAAAAAGAAGGAAAAATTAAGTTAGATGATTAATATTTTGGTGACAATTAAGTGAATATTGTTAACAAGATTTATAATAGAAATAGGGAAAGAATTGTGAATAATCAATCAATGCGATATTCTTGGTACGAGAGTAAAGGGAAGGTAAACATTTCCATTATTTTTGGTGATTCAAGTTTAACAGTAGCACAATCAATTGATTCTGATCATCACGATAATCATTTTATCATCTTGTTTTGATCAAGATGATGATTCTAAATGTAGTTAAATTAGAGTCGTTGAGCAACTTTTTCTTTTTCCAATTTTGTTCCACCATCATCAGGTATTTTCTTTCTCTCTCTCTCTCTCCTTACCTGTCGCTTTTGAGTTTTTTCTTCTGTCTTCTTATCTTCCAGATGAAGAGAAACATCACCATTAATACACATCCTGAATTATCTTCATGTTGATCTTTTTGTACCTGTTGATGTTGTTTCCATTTGATGAGATTCAATTCCAAATCTAATGAGCTCCTTCTCTTTCTGTCTTTTCCTTATTCTTCCTGAACTTTGTTATGATGATGATCCTTCTCTTTCCAAATTGCTTCTTTTCTCACCTTGATCTTTCCTCTTCTTCTTCTTCTTCCTTAACCTTGGTATCAAAACGTTATCGATGTTAACAAGTATTCATACTCAGAGTGACACAAAACAAGAAACACTAGTTATTCATTCATATAAATGGTGGAAAATGGGTGAAGGGATTAGGCGGGAATTGGAAACAACCAGCAATTGAAGAAAGGAGAAAACTGGTGACAAGATGAAAAAATTCCAATGACAACAGTGGCAATTTAGAATAAGTTATTCAAGTGTCACCCAAAATACTGATCCAAATACCAAAATAAGACGAAGGAAAAAAAGAAAGAATCTCAAAACCTAAAAGGAAAACCAAAAGAGAATAGAACATTTGAACGAAAAAAAAACATGGCGTCATTGCCTCTAATTGTCTATCCCCTTTTCTTAACATTACCAATTACGGTTAACTTACCAATTAGAATTAATTAATTTGAAAATTTATAGAGACAAAAACAATTGAAAGGTTAAATTATTTACAATTAAAACCAACAATCAAAGAGATTAATACGTTTTTATACTTATTAGATTGGAAACACAAAGAGAAGCAAAAGAAAACGGTAACAAGGGAAAATTAATTTCTAATGATTATGGTTTACACTTTAAATACTCTTAATGAAGGAAGAGAAACAAAAGATAAGATGAGATAACAATTAAAATTAACACTTCATCTCAGTAAAGGGAATGAAAACCTGTTAAAGAAAATTTAGAAAAAACAATTAAACAAAGAAACAATTTAATTAACTGTTAATTGTGATTAGGAAAATAACCAAACGATGTCAATGTTTCAACGAGGGAAAAGATAATCACATGATCGATCCCAATGCCCTCTACATGTCACATGGATAATAAAAGAAAAAAAAATTATTCTTTTCTCTTTTCAAGTTAATTGTTTTTCTTTATCAGTTTAATTTACATTTTAATTAGTCTTTCTTATCAATTGATTGATTAGTTAATTTGGTTAACATGATCTCTGACTGATAGAAGTTAATTTCTTTTGTTTCTTTTGTCTTAATCTTGTTGATTCTATGTGACATTTTATTTGATTGTCTTTGTTTGTCTCCAGGTCAAGGTAATGAGATTATCCAATGTGTGTAATTATTACAAATATAACTAATCACTTTCCTTTTTTGTTAATTGTTATAACAATTTCATGTTATTGTTGTTTTTTCTCCTTCATTTCCTGATTCCTCTTTGTCTAATTGTTGGTTTTTATTTTTCTTTCTTTCTCTTTCAGATGATTGTCTTGTGATTCCTTATACTTGGGTCTTCCCTTTTATGTCTGGGCCTTAACTGTTTCTCATTAACTGTTGTTTTTTTTATTCTTCTATATTTGTGAATGTCTTTGTCTCTTTTTGCATTAACATTCAAAGGTAATTTTTCTTGACCGTTAGGTTGATATATTCCAATTATTTGGTCAACATTTCATGGCTCACATTCATTTGAGTTGGTCTAATAAATGTGGAGAGATGGAGAGAAAAGAGTGATACAAGTAATGATTCCATATGATTCTCAGTTGATGATTAGTATGGAATCAGTTTCTCTCTCAATCTCTTTCTCTCTTGCCCATTATTTCCTAAACTATTTCATTGTCTTATGTTTCTTTTTTCGAAATTACCTTTTGTTTCAAATATTCTTTTTCAGGTATCTCATGGTCATAATGGCTTTCGGAGGGTTTCTTGATTCTCTTTGGTTAATAACATTCCAAAGTTTACTAAAGGATTCATTTCGTTATTGTCATAGAAAATTCTAGGATTTCTCAAACAGCAATCGAACACTTAAGGAAAAATAACAACAAGCAAACCAGATAGGTATCAATTGCTCCTAAATACTAATTTACATATTTAATACGAGTGGTGAAAAATCAGTGAAGGGCAAAGATAATGAGGCGAAAATCAAGTGTTGATACTACTTGTAATAACAACGATCTACTTTAATCTTTATTGATTGAATACCATAACAATTGATAAACTATCTTCATTATCTTTTCCGACTTCCATGATCGAATAAATCATTTAGAGTATTTATCATCATCTTCCTTTGCTTTCACCTCTTCCTTTTACATTTCATTGGTATTTTTATTCTCTCTCTCTTCAATAGATCTAATGTTATTGCCTGCAAGCTAAATAAAAATCTTTGGATTTTATTGTGTAAACATGAAGACAACCAACGAATCATCATATATATTAATACACGAATAAGGATAACCAAAGGATAGTGCAGACAATTCACCTTTACATACACCAAACCTGAAGAGGCAAAGTTGTCAATGCAAAGAAAAAACGAACAACAACAGCAATCACAATTCCCAACCTCTAACTGGTAACTCTTTTGTCAAAAAAAGAGAGAGAAAGAGGAACGAAAAGAATAATTTGGAACTTAAATTCCTCACTTATTACTTGGGGGAAAAGGAAATGAGAAGGAGAAGAAGAAGAGAGAAGATGAAAAAAGAACAACAAACAATTCTTTACGTTTCCACCGAGATTCTTATTCTATTTTAACCAATGTGAAGATAAAAAAGTCAAAGAGAATGTGATAAAAACAATAGTACATGGAATGATAAAATTATCTATTGAGAATGAGGTGTAATCATCAATGTTTCTCAACAATCTATTAATAACAATACCATGTGATCAATTCTACCTTTGCACCCACGATGTGGGAGTACATAAGATACTTTGTGATTATAAATAGAAAACAATCAGACACAGAATCACATATATTCCGCTGATTAATTATCTCAATGTAAGTGAATAATGAATCATATTAATTGATTTGAGTTAAATTACTTCCGATTAACATGACAAAAACAATAATCAAGTTACTTGATTTATCTATTTAAATACTTACTATTAACTCAAATCTTATTAATTTTATCCCATTTCTTATATTATTTCCCATACATTAGGTTTACTATTGATGGTAAAGGATAATGATCTCAATGATGATGATGAAACTGATGGAATCATGAAAAAAAACACCAATCGCTGATAGATAATTTTCCTCATGTGTTTATTTTTATCCACGATGATTTCTGGGATAACTGTATAATCATCTTCATCTTTATCTTCATCTAACTTCACTTTTGATACCAAACTATAATCATAAAGTTATTTGTTCATCATATATATTGGAACGTATCATTTTCTCATCATCATCATCATCTTTTGCCTTTGGTTTTATACACAATCAATTATTACAATTTTTCCAGTTGCTATCAATCCTAGCAGAGGAAAAGGATCCCCATGATTATGACAATATTTTTCCACTTCTATCCTTCCTGTTGTCACTTAATAGCTTCATCAATAATCAAGGATACCTTTAGGCTAATCGATATAACTTTCGATATCATCATCTTTCTCATTGTTTTGACGGTAAAAAAAATCTTCGCTAATTGAATATTCCTTTGTAAATTTAATTCTCTCTAATTGTTGTTATTTTTCTGTCCTTTTTTATGTCCATTCTCTTATATAGCAACCATGGAGTAAAAGAAATTATCTTTATCTTTATCGTGTATGTTTATCCAGAGAAGAAGCAGAAAGAAGAAGATAAAAATCGTACATTGTAATCTCTCGGTCGAGCTAATTTTCCTTTCCATTAATCTATCTGTGTTTAAAAGGTATGGAACAAATAGAATCAAGATTGAAGATTTTGATTAAAATCGTCAAAATGTTCATCCAAACTCTAACTTACTCACTCACTTTCTTCTTCCCTAGGATCTATGATCTTTTGCGTTTCCAAGGATTGTTCAACTATGCTGAATATCGGATTCTGAAAGTCAAATAACCAGAATAAAATATTCAATCTTTTGTAAAGACAATGATATTCCACGTTAATAACAATCAATTAGGTATTCGAATAAGAAATCAACAAGAATCTAATTCTCAAGGAGAAATAAAGGTGAAAAAAAGTTTTCTTCCTGGAGAAAATCCCAGAGAATATCTCTCTCTATTGACATTCTCTATAGACAGTTTTTCCTCAACATTTTCTCCATAAGAATTCAATAATATGGATCATATATCATGAATTTTAACTAGTGGATATCGTCGATGTCGATCTTTTCCCTTTTTCCTAGATTTTGGTTTATTTTGAGGTGACAAAAATTCATTATTCATACGGATTGGTGAAACATGATAGTGGTTATTTTAATTATTCAATCTCAAAGGTGAAATAGGAGATAAATGTATTCAAGAAGGTAAATCAATGTGAGGAAATTTTTCACCCCCATCACCTATCAAGTGAATATAATTAAATTACCAACTTATTTTGAATTAATTATGATCATTATTCAACGTTCTTAACATTGATTGAAGATCGTTGTATATTTGTGTATTGGTGAAGTTTAATTTTTATCTATTTAATCACCATGAAGTAATTTATTTTTAGATTGTCATTGATTAATTCAATTCATCTTTTATTTATCTAAATTTTCATTTCCTAGGATTTTACGATTGGAATTTATTTTAATTATGATTGTACGAAACTAACTACTGACATCTTGATCAATGGATTTGGCATCTTTTCCAGCAACAAGTTATCATCTAATTCTCGGTGGTTTATCTTTCCATGTGATTACAATTGAATTGATTATTCAATCTTTGGACAATTGTTTGATGGGCCAAGTTTGAATATCTGTGACAATGTTGATGTTGGCATTTGATTTATTTTGATGTTATGTTTTGACGAGTATGAAACTACCACTTTGTTCATTTGTCTCATTCTATATATTTATTTTCTGCCTTAGATCAACAATTAAGCTGATGAAAACCGTAATTACCAAGTGAGAAAAATGGATTCAAAGAAAACGTTTCATATAAATTAATCTAATCACGGAAACAATGACTTACTACACCTTGGAGCTTTAGCCTCATCATCTTTATCTTCCTTTTCGTCACAAATCTTGGTGTCATCTTTTATCATTCTCTTTCTATTCTTCATTAATTTATCTAAATCGCCTCATCCACTGTGACGATTTTCTCTCTCTCTCTTTATCTTCATTATCTCTTCGGCCTCTCCCTCCCTTTCTCTGTGCTCTCTTAATACTTATCTATATTTTTCTTTTCTCACTTGAAAAGGAGAAGAAATAAATGTGATATTAACTCGTAAGGTAAAAAAAAATGCGCAAGACTAATGAAGTTTAACCTTGCAAAGAGAGAGAGAGAGAGAGAGAGAAAGAGAAAACGAGTTACCAGAACTTTTCTCTTCATACTGAACAGTTCAAATTGCAGCGTCAATGAACATCGTTGTTATTGTGAACTGTTCACATGAAATAAACATGTATCTCTATTCAAGTTACTCATCTTCTTGTTTAACGAAGGGAGAAAATTTTTTCTCATCATTACATTAACTTTTATCCTCTTTCCTTCATCTTCTTCTCTTCTCTTTTCCCTACACCATCATCATCACCAAACCCTCTCCCTAATATTCAGAGAGTGTCATCATTATCTTAATACAACGAATTGAATCCTTTGGAATCTTTTGCTGCTCATCAATTATTATAAATAAGTGTCCAAGTTAATTGTGTCTCCATAAGTCTCATGATCATACTAAAAGTTCAATAATAATAGTTTTTACCATCATCCAGATCATTGAACGACATTATTATTGTCCACATCATTATTGTATCATCTTTATATTTATTGTCTAATATCTGATTAGCATCATCAATCCAATGAAACGTTTGGATTGATTTTTTCATCTTTAACTCTCTTATTTTTTTTTCTTCAATTCTTTCAGCTGTGTGTAAATAATAATACTAATAATAATAATGTCCTACGAATCTCGAGTTGGCAACCTAACATACCAACGCTGTGATCCATCATCTTTATCATCCTCATCATCATCATCCGTACTTTTGCCTTGTATTGATTGTGTATCACCGATGTGTCTCAATATGTCCACTCTATTTAATCTCACCTTGGGCAATTTAATTCGTGACCAATCACTTTCACCCAACACTCTATCTTCATCTTTATCTCTTACATCACCTCTCTCATTTCCATCGGGCGATTTATCATCGGTACCAGAGATACCCTTGGATATAATGGTCAGAGGTAATGATTCAAATTTGGATGAAAACTCAAAGGCTTATGTAATCTCAACCCATGTTAAATTACTTTGGATTTTTGTTTACATGATAATGATCATGATGGCCACTCTAGGTAATCTTGGGATTATCTGGATTATAATTGGACACCGGAAAATGAGAACAGTGACCAACATATTTATACTTAATCTATCAATCGCTGATCTGATTACTTCAATTTTAAACATTACCTTTAATTTCATCTTTATGCTTTTTGGTCAATGGTATTTTGGTTACTTTTTCTGTAAGATAAACACATTCATTGCTTATTTAACTCTTTCCGCTTCCGTATTCACCATAATGGCCCTTAGTCTTGAAAGGTAATTACATTAACTATATATTCCTCTTTACCTTAATCTTAATCCACTTTGAGAGAGAGAGAGAGAAAGCGAATTGATCATCATTAACTTTTATTTTATTGAAGTTTAATCGTTGACATTGTGGAGAAATTGTTTCATATAAATTGTTGATTCTTTCGGTTAACTCATTTTTTACTCTGTTAACTTTATATTAACTTATAATCAATCAGCTAATCTATTGTTTCCTTTAATCATGTTGATTAAAGGAAACAATTTATTCAAATTGTTCAATTTCCTCATTTCCCATGATAATTATCATGATTTCAGGTTATAAAAAAGTGAAGTTACATTGATATGATAATTTTTCATTCAGATTGAATCATTCCAGTCACAATTATCATGCTAATATAATAATAATTTATCTTAATCAATGTTTATCTTTTTTTAGTTTTATAACTTGAAATACAATCTGAGACTTGAGATATTATTAACTGAGAATCAGAACTTTTTATTAATTATCATCATAATTAACTAAATATATTATCAAGGTAACAGTTGAATTGTTATCAATGATTAATGTGAATACACTTTGAATTATATATTAATATTATCATATAACCAATATAATATTTAAGCATAAACAATTTACTTGATCAAGTTAATTGTTTGCAATAATATTAATAAAACATGATAAATTGAGTGAATACACTTTGATTACTTTCTTCCTGATGATTGAGTGATTAAAGGCTGAACCTATGAAACTAATTAAGTTAATTATTAGCCAGTCAGTTTAGAGAAACAACAAAATATGATTATAATTATTGTTTATAATTCTGATATTGTTGATACTCATGTAAACTCATTGTTAATTGTTGATTATCTTGTAAACAATTTTCTTCAAGTTTCAATTTATTTTCAACTGTTGATTTAGTAACTTTTTTGTTCAAGAATTTCTTGTTCAATGATTTACTGATTATTATCAATTGGATTTATTAAATTCACTCTTGATAACTTGTTCATCCTATGGACAAGAAAAATCCCTCCATTGGTGTTACATTAACTCACAGTGGAAAGATTTTGTCCCACCTTGACTCCCGCTACCATAGTATTGAAGATTTAACAATAAATCTAATAGTTGATTGATAAATACAGATTGACAATCAATTTTAATTGAATTTTATTGAATCCAGATTATGACTGGAAACATAAAACAAAAAGATATCCAAACCTAATGATATTGTTTTTAAAAGCTTCCGTCTTAAAATTAATATCTCCCCTGGAAATTGTTACCAGGAAATGATGATTACCAACATTCAGTAGCAAATTACATTAGGATAACTTTATGTTGCTATTTTTCAGCTCACTCATTCACTTACTCTCTCACCTTCATCGGATTAACCCTAATTGAGTGACTTGAAAAACTATCAAGAAACCAGAGTTGATCGATCGTCGATATTTTTTTTTCTTCTACCTGATCTTCTGAATCCTCATGGAAAAAAAATCATGAATAATTAAAGTGGTAAAAAAACTGCATAGACTTTATCATGACTATTATCACAGATAATTAATTGTTAATTGTTCATCATTAGCAGTAATTATCTGTTTTCTATTGACCAGGAATTGTTCAGCTGAACGAAATCAACTAATCAACTAATCAACACGAATGGTAATGATTAACATTTATTAGATTGTTTCTACAATTCTGCTTATTTCTCAGTTCGTGAGAATTTGAAATTTTGTTTCTTTGGTGTTAATCATGAATTGCTAATGTAATTTTGCAGCACGATTGTAATTTGATTCATCTCTTTCGAGATTATCATGATTACCATGAAATATGATTTTTTTTTCTCTTCTTATTTTGTATTATTCATTTATGATTAATATCCAAACTTTTTGTCTTCTTTATTTACTTCCTAATAATTGAATGAAGGATAATCATCTTGATACAACATATAATTGATTAATAACCTTTTCCACAAATTGAAACTAATTATTGTAACAATCAGCATAACAACAGTTTGTATGATAAGATGATTAAGTTTCTTTCCATTTGAATTAGATTCATTGATTTAAACTCAGTTCGATTGTTAATATGATTGTGCTTGAATTTGGTTGATTTAATAATCAACAATAATTATTGTTCTGATCATGGAAATGTAATTAATATCTTTTGGATCCAATTTATTTCTTTTATCATGGATGTAAATCTAAGTCTCTTTTTCTTCGCCATGGCGATAGTTTGATGATCCATGATTCTCATCAGAACTTTCAGGATTTACTCAATGAACTATTTCGTTCTGAGTAAGATATTACCATAGATATTGTCATATACTCCTCCAGAAAAAAAAACCTGAATAAAACTTTTATTATGTTCACCAATCACTACTATTTATTACTGAGAATCATGATGATAATCTCATGATTAAATGAATTGTGAATAAATTATGATCATATAAATACTCACTGGCTTCAGAAATAAATCGACGAAAACAATGATAACGATAAATTAAACCACCATGAAACTTTGATTTTCTCCTAGAACTTTTGTCATCACATTTTCATTGTGATACTTTGATACAATTTCAAGATGATCATGATTTAGATACAATTTTGATGGTGTAGATAATTGTAGTTATGATTCAATGAGATTAAATGTCTCAAGGTTTCATAGTCTGAACAAAAAGAATAGGAGAGAAAAAAAGTTCCAACGATTAATCCTTCCTTTTCTTAATCTTTACTAATTATTATCATCATGAAAGTCATTCACGGTGCTAATGAATTTTGCATTTTGAAAAGTTTCAACTTTGAAATCCTTGAAATAACAACTTCATTTGAAACATGATAACCTCAAATAAACTTATGGGAAATACAATTCCCAGCATGCTAGTGATATTAAATACATTTATCCATGATGAAAATATTGTTACTCATGTATATTCAGGCAATTTATCATGCTAGGCGATTCCATTTCAACAATGATGATGATAATAAGTGTAATTTACCTCCCACCATGTATCTTTAAATGTAGATTTGAGCTTGTTAACCCTTGATAATGATTCATGTTTTTCTTAGCATCATGATTAATATTTACTTTTTTTTTCTCAACAATATCAATGACATTTGATCATAAATGAAGTTTTCAATTTTTAGTATTGAGTTTTCCCTGTACCAGGAAATGATTTACCATGCACTCTCTCTCTCTCACACACACACTCACACTCTCTCTCACCTTTCACCTCCCACTTCCTCTATGTCACTGAGTAAATATTAATAAGCAATAGGGAAAACATGGTTTATAAGTAATTGAAAAACTTTGAACACTATTAACGTAATGATTTTGAATTGAACTTTTTTTCGCCTCATTGTATCTTAAGCCTTTCAATTGGTACTTGAACTTATATCATGACTTTTTTTTTCTTTCCTCATGATAATCTTTCCAAGTATATATTTATTTATATGATTGTTACATGTTGATGATAGTGTATAGGTGATATATTATTATTACCGTCTTAATGATTTGCATTGAGTTACTTGAAATGATGATCAATTAGAGTTGATGATAAATTGAGAATATATTATTTGATTATTAACTTTGCTTGTGATTTTCTTCATGATATATTATCACCATTAATATTAATACAAATTGATATATGTAAATTGTTAGGAAAAAAAATTCTACCAAACTTTTGAACCTTAATCAACTTTTTCTTTGATTAATGTGATTTGAAATAGAAAGTTTTTAAAATTCTGATTCATTTGCAAACGATAGTTTCATGAGCAAATTGAAGTTTCCATAACTTAAGTTGAACACTTTATCAATTTTACTTAAAGTTTATATGTTTATCATTCTTTTCCTGTTTTTGGCAAAGGTAATTGAATCTTTCTCATTCATAGTTTTAAGTTTCAGGGTAACCGTTGGTATTAATTCTTGCGTGGTGACCTTTTTGTAGATAGATTGCTCCTTGATTTTGAGGATTGAAATGACCTCGAATCCGATTGACTTCATGGTTGATTGGCAACATTAAAACATGGGAAACTAATTGAATAGTTTTTTGCTGGGATTTGACTCTTTTATTCATAAAATTTCAACCTTTTATCGAATATTTTTCTGATCACTGAATGAAATCAAACAGAACTTTATGTAATTTGACATTCTCATGTCAAATTACATCTTCCACTTGATCATATATCTGTGATTTCTAAATTCAACTATTCTGATCCCTTAGATTCACTCTCAACAATCAAGTTGATTGTGAGAGCAAAAATCTTGAGAAACTTTATCATGAAATGTTCAGTTATTATGATTATGGTTAGGATACTTGTCGATGATGATGATGATAGAATCCATTTTATTGATTCTAAATTTTCTTGGAACTTCTTGAAATAATCATATTCTGTGAAAATAACATTCTATATACGATCATCACCAAAATCAGAATCATCATTATTCTTACCCTGAACTTTCTCTGAATTGATTGTGAAGTTTTTCCATGATTTTCCAATTTTCTCACCTTTCAATAAACACTTTTCCTTTGAGCTGTTGAAATGGCTCAGAAAATTAATCTCATCATGATGAACTTTATCAATTTTATACTCCCAATTGTTGCTGATATTTTCTGACCCTGAAAGGCACCCATTTGCCAAAATTTCTACCTCACTGATTGAAATTACACCTAATGTATCATTTCTATTAGCGTAATTCATTATTTTAGAGCATTTGTAACCATCAAAGTGAGCAGAGACTCTTTCTTTGCATAAAAAAAGTTTACTGTAAGAAGGAAAAAGTTCATACAGGGCTTTTCAACTTCATTTACGCACATTTTCAGTTCAAACTGTGCATTGTACATGTAAGAACTCCGAAAAAAAATTCCAAGGTGATTGTTGAGTTTTCACGTTGATATTTATTCCAAACTTGATTTACAAATGTACCTTGTTACATAATCGACCTGTCCAGAGCATTAATATCTTCGTATCATATCATATGGACGATCATTAGCTCTTGTGTATCTTAAAGAAAAGTA